GCCGTTTGTCACTGCCTCGAAACGACTGAGTCGGTTAGGTACCTACCCCCTGGGCGGTTCCCGGCGCCCCTTAGGTTATAGATATGGATGGATGAAATCGAGCGACGTCGGTCCACACAGGAGCAACGCCATGAATGGCTCGTTTTATTTGTTTGTCAAATTATTTTTGTCAAATTAACATTACATTGACATTGTCATATATTGTCTTGTCTCAGCCATCTCAGCCCTGCTGCTGCTGCTTGTTCAGATGGTCGGTCTTCCTTATGCTCATTTTCGTGCACATATCATATCCTGAGGTATTATGCCTAGTGCTGTCTGTGCAGCGAGCGTTTCACTATGATGAACATTGAGAGCAATAATTGTGCAACTGATCGATCTCGTTTAAGGTTCATTCTGATCAGAATTTTGTTACTCCTATCTAAATTGATGATTGATTGGATTTGTATGGAAGTGTGCAGAAAGTTGATCGATATATCGATCAATCGCTTTAGAACGAGCAGTGAAATAAAAATCAAGTAGTAGTAATATAATGTAAAGTGTTCACTATGTATGGCTTAACGTTTTTTCAGTGTGGTTGTCATGGTGTGTTTATAGTATAATCTATATATAAATGCATTTTTGCACTTCATATCCTATGTTACCTAGTCCTATGCGCTATTAAGATATCCATCCATATATCTATCTATTCACTGAGTAAGTTTTAGGGCAGAGTATGGATATTTTGAACGAACGAATATTCTTGATTGGCTATGAGCTGATTGTGAGCAGCTATTTAGTTGCTTATTACTTATTATTAAATTGTTTGTAGTGTTTATTGGCGTGAATTGGTTGAGTACTGAAAGGAAATTTTGCTTTGAAAGTGCAGAGGGAGGTTTGGAAGTAGAGTTTGAAATTAATTAAGCATCTTATTAAGTGATTGGGATTAGAATTGTATTAGAATTGCGACGGTGTAAGCATGATATGATGTCAGGCTGGCTAGTAGCTGGTGTTAAGTTTAAGGATAAAGGCGTTGAGAAGTTAGACTAAGAATAATTAAGAAGAAAACCGTGAAGCGCGTTTTGTTTTGATGAAAAGCGTGCTGAAATGTGATGAGTGGCGTTCAGAAAGAGTAAATGAAGTAGTCGGGTGATATGAAGGAGCGACAGACATGTTTTTCGTTTTGAGTTGCGATAATGGTTGTAGAAGTAGTGAATTGAGGGGATATGGAATGTGTTTGACTTATGGATGGCTGTTTTAGAATATGGTAAATAATTTAGTGGAATAGGCAGGCATTCATATGTGTATTGGACGAGTGAGAGGATTAAAGAACTAATGACGGATATATTAGCAAAGGAGATTTTTTTGGGTGGATGTTGCATGGATGGATTGTTTACGAAAAAATAACTTATGTTCGAGATTAACGCGGTGATTAACAAGTGAATGCGGATGGATGGATGGATGAGGAATGGATGGATCAGTGAGATGCGGCGGATGGATCATTATGTGCATGGATGATGTGCACGATTGACACTTACTAATTAATTAGTTTAGTTATACTAATAGTGGTGACACAAAGTAGTGTTTGCTGTTCAAATTGGTGCATCTAAATTTGTATGCTGCATCTAAATTTCCTTCAGCTTCGTTGTTACGTTGAATTGTTGTAATGAAGAGGTTTGGCTTGGTTGAAATTCTGAAATTTATGATTAGTTTGGTGTTGTAAGCATAGAATTCAGGTGAGCATTTTGAAATTGATTGTGATCGATCATTTTATTGTTTGCTCAAGCAACAGTAAATTGATCAGCACGCATTAGGTACATGAGTGAATGAATAATGTTAGTGATGGCTGGATGTAAAATGATGTTAGTAACATATTTATTTATGTGCTATGCATTATGAACTCAAATTAGATTTGCACGAAGTTTGAAGCGAAAAAAAAACAGAGCAATGGAGAACTATTTAGGGAATAAAGCGCCGCAGATAATAAAGGCTGATGATAGCTTTAGCTTTAGCTGGCCTGGCTGCTGACGAGGTGACGTGAATAAAAATGATCGAGAGCATGCTAGTGTATGTATATTATATGTTGAAGTGTGGAACGGAACCAAATGGAATATCCATATATTATTGTTGTTGGAACCGACTGGCTTTTCGATGCAAGCATCCAATCACCCAAGCATCCATCCATACGTCTATCCGCTTGGGCTGGCTTGTGTTCGTTGGTTGGTTGGTTTGGAATGCTGCTGAATTATACGGCCGGCCGATTTTGTCAACTCAGTGGACTATATATTTATTTATGTGAATAATAATGTAAAAAGAACTGGATAGATGGATGACTATGGCTATATGGATGGACACAGCTATATCTAGCTATCTATCGATAATGGTGTATGGAGTAGTGAATGAAATAGAATAGTTGCAGCAGCTTTGGCTTAGACTTTTAAGCGTATTCATTGTCTGGATTGGGCTCGTATCTAGTGATCATTATTTAGACATATTGCATAATTCATTATTGACTCTGATGTGGTTGAATTTTTGATGTGATTGGTTCTTTTATTTTATGAAGTGTGGCGCAGAAAAATTTGAAAATTTTGGCTTGCAAATAAATTTGAAAGCTGAGATCGATGGTGGTTTGCATGTTTCTAAGATATTTGAAGAGCAGTTAAGAAAGTAATTTGAGATTGTTTGTATACAGTTGAAGTAGTTTTTTGAGAATTGAATATTTGTTTAACAGGTTGCGAGTGAAGAAGTGATCGTGTAAATAATGAACTTGTTCATTATGACTGCTGAATGCTAGCACTAATTATAGCATATCGACGATGAGATTCGATTCAGATCAGATCAGGCTTGAAAACTGGAATGGAATAGAATATAATGAGCGCTGTGCAGAACAGATAGCATGCTTATGAGGCAACAAAGTGTTATGTGACAATTTTGGAACGGTGTGTATTATTTATTTGTTTGTTTTCGTCTTTAGATGGACTTAAATTTAAGACGAGAATTTTAGAATCGTGTGAGTGAGTGTGCGATTTTAAGTATTATTTGTGTTAATTGTAAAGGCAAAAGTTTGAGATTGAGCTCAAAGAAGCTGGCTAGCTTGGCTTAGGCTTTTAGATGCACTTGATTTGGATACTTTTTAGTGCTGCTATTGGTTACATTACTGCCGGATCGTTGGTCAGTTTGAATTTTTTGATCAGATCAGAATCATAATGCTTATCGTATTCTCTTCATCTGTCCTTCCATAAGTTGCTCGCGTCGAATGC